CTTTTCTCCAATGATCTTATCTCGTAACRATGTACGATGTCATATAGGAACAGAAAAATTCTATAATCTTCACCAGAGTTGTATAATTGCAAGAAACTTTCGTATTTTTAATAGATTTAGCGCATTCTTTGAACGACATTTGYGTAACAATCARTATAGTCMTCTTCTCGATTCTCCGCGCCATATTGCAAGGTAGCCGTTCCTTTGCCTTTGAGACGACCGTATTCACAGGTATCTATCATGGAATGCTCAACAGTTTTCTCGCTTCGATGCAAAGGCATGACTACCTTTCAAGATGTCGCAGGAAACGTGGAGGAGACTATTAAAGTTTTTAAAGGTTTATATGATTGTACTCTTGAAAGTGCTTTTGAATGATCTTAATTAGTACCCTATTATATCTGAAATGAATAGTTTTAAASCTTACTTGGTGTCCTGGCCATAACGACTAGGGAAAGAGAATACGTAATTTGAGCCAGAACTAAACAACTGTGTCATACTGGGAAACTGTACTTACCACTGAGGGCAGGGTCATTGTCTTCGCCATTGTCAAATTTGGCCACCTCATTGTCCGGCTGATTRTCTWYAAGGAAAAGTTATGGAGTTGTTATACGGTCTTCCATATATGATTTCGACAAAAAAAAATCAAATAAAAATGCCTAGTGGATTTATTTCACCAATATAAATATATTAATTTTGAATAGAATATCCCGACTAGACTCAAAAGAAACGACAAAATATTGTATCTTTAGACAAAATTTAGACAACATAAATTTACTATACATGTAAAACATGGAATATCCCACGGCCAACATGATGATCCAATTTTTATATTTCTATGTACCAGATAGACATTAAGTGCACAATATTGTTAGCTTATTATTGGCAAATAAAAGATTGTTTATAGCCAGATATATGTTGTTTTTTGTTTTTTTGTTTTTGTTTTTAACTTAGAAACATTAATAACAAGTAATACATTGAAAATATTCCTACCAAAATTAACGCACACTGGTCCGACTGCGAGTCCGGAGTTTGAGAACATCTGTGTAAAACAGTTTTTCTGAAACTAATKGAAATCTAAAATAATACTCACATGGAGCTTCTTCGATGGCAGTATTTGGATCAGGCTGATCTTCGTTCTCTTCTATCACAGGAGCAGCAAAGGTAAAGGCAACAAGGCCAAGAACGAGAAGCACAAGTAAACTGAACCTCATCTTGACTCAMGWTTTTCTTGCAGTKTKTAAAGTCTCGTTTGATGTCTCTTCAGAGTATGGGTYGTTGTTTCCAACTGAACTTAGCAAATCTTTCAAGGAATTTTATACCATTTTCTAACTTCCCGATGTCCTAAAAAGGCATTTATTGTTTGCATATCCTAAAGACGAAGTGGAGGATTTTTATTGGCTAAAGTCATAAATAATGTCATTRTCCGTCCTACCTGAAGGATGACGCATCTTTTATGACTAAATTTCTACCTCCCATAGAAAGTTTCTTAATGTTATCTGACTCAATATCGACTTTTTTTATCTTTATGAACATTTCATAGCGAAAGAACAGTAATTTGAAAATGATAATTGAGTATTGTTCGTTTATGACCATATGCTCAAATAGTTTCTAATTTAGGATGACAGATATTAGCTTCCAAGCTCCTTGCATTTTTGCACAGGTCTAGTTTGAGTAAAGAGCGGAATACTTACGCGCTATGCAGATATTGACCAAAGGAAGTGTGTTTAGTAACCACAACCGGCCCTTCGATGTGCTGAATCCTACCGGAAAATTSATTTTATTAAAATTATGTATATTTCCTCTTCATTAGAAATCTTTTAAGATTTAAAACTGACGATGTTGGATGTTTCCACATTGTGTAGATGTTCAATAACACTATCTTGCTAATCGTATCTTTAGAACTCATCTATACTTTTTAATACATGCACATGGGTWAGAACTGGTT